AATAATCGACTAGCTACGGAGTAGTCTCCGGTTACTTGTTTTCTTTTGGTGCTCCGATAAAGTTCCTTGATGTATGGAAGAACGGGTGGAGTTCATAGAGATTCATGTCTTTTTGTAGATTCTTTACCTTTTGGTATACCCCTGGTATACTGCCAGATTTTTGGCCATGTTTATAAATGAAATACATTTACTTGATCAAACAAAAACTCACCGAGGTCACCACAATAATTGTTCTCCAAAACTGGCATATTACATTAGACACCATTAACTCTGGGTAGGTAACAGAAGGGGCACATATACAGCATGATGCTAGCAGAAATTGGATGGAGATGAGCATAACTTGAACCACTAGGCCCTGAGCTTTGCAACATGTTTATTGAATATGAAATTCATGTCTTCATGTTTCTGCTGATTGCTTTATGTTATTTTCTTAGCCATGTTGCAACTGTACAATTTGCTTTCTCTTTACTCAATTTGTAATTAATCCAATTCATAATTATTGAATCCTGCAATAGTATTGCCATTGGACGAGAAGGAGGTGTGGCACCACTTATAGCACTTGCACGATCTGATGTTGAGGTAAATCTTTGTGCAATGATATCTAGAAATGCTTTTCCATGCCTGCCTGGTTGTTGCTCTTTTTCAGCTTTCCACAACTTGTGAAGGCTTAATTTGTTAATTATAGTTTCTGCTATTGAACTATCTCATCTTCCTCAAATTGTAATTGAATTGGGTTCTTGTATATCTTTTTAATCCGTGCTTAACTTAGCTATATTAATTTTGTTTCCGAACAGATTGTAAATTTTGAATACAGATCTGAGAGCTAGAAAGCTTATCCAGGGAGATCCGACCTGTGGATCTCAGTTGCCATTACCTAGCAAATATGTTACTACTAAATGTGGCACCTCAACATGGTCTGCTAAAAACATGGGCACACATTTACTGGAGCTTCTTTTGGATACTAACAGTTGTGACTTTATGTTACTCAAAGGGAAACTAGATCACTATTTCTGTATTTAATGTTGTACCATTAATTGGTAAACTCTTATTCCATTTCCATTTTCCAGAGGGAAAATTTAGATGGAGTTAGCTAGCTCTTCAAGCTTAAAAAGAAGAACTAACCTGTCCAATGATGGCTAGGCTTTAATAAAAATATATCTTCTGCAGAGTTGCGTAGTTTAGAAAGTAAATTTAGGATAATCTTCTTGACCTCTAGGGTTTATTTTAGGCTTACACCCTTCCATTTCATGCTTCATCACAAAAAAATAAATAAAATAATTCCGTCCACGGCATGTTGGCTAGTGGAGCTTTCACTAACTTCACCTTAAAAGTACTAAACCATCAAGTCACAAAATCTGCAAGTTGGTAGTAGTTTCAATAACGTCTTTCACATAATTTCTGAATATAGTCTTGTTAATCTGCCATATTTAGATGCAGCATCTATTTGGCATTTGTTCATGTACCTGCAAGTGGTTTTACCTGGCGGTGCAATGTTAATGATGCCTTATGTATTTATACATATTATCCTTTTCTGGGATATAAAACTAATATGTGAAGCCATAGTTCTGTTGATTGGCATGTAATGACAAATGCATCACTTTGAATCATATAAGTTTTTCTGCCTTCTAGAATACGAGTGTAATTATTTTTGAGAAATAGGTATGAGTATAAATATTATCCTTTTCTGAGATATAAAACTAATATGTGATGCCATAGTTCTGTTGATTAGCATGTAATGACAAATGCATCACTTTGAATCATATAAGTTTTTCTGCCTTCTGGAATACGAGTGTAATTATTTTTGAGAAATAAGTATGAGTATAATTACGATTGTACATTCCTAAATTTTCCCTCTTTCCAGGATGTCCATGAGACTGCAGCTGGGGCTCTCTGGAATCTTGCTTTCAACCCTGGTAATGCTTTCCGTATAGTGGAGGAAGGGGGAGTTCCTGCCCTTGTTCATCTTTGTTCGTCATCTATCTCAAAAATGGCACGCTTTATGGCTGCATTGGCGTTGGCTTATATGTTTGATGGAAGGTACTTGACAATGTCTTCTTCCGTGAATATTATTCTAAACAGCACCCTAAACTAAATACTGAATGCTATTTAGTATAGATTATTGAAATTATTTTCTCTTGATTTTTCCAGAACAGCCGTCTTAGAATAATACTTATTTTTCCAGAAGCCATTTATTTCTGGCGTTCTTCTCATTATATTTAGTAATCCAATCTAGCTTTAGCTGTTTCAAAGGAGATAACTAATTGGAGCGAGGTTTCTTCATCTCTTACTATGCTTAACAAGAATGTAGTTTCCATTCTCCCTCAAGTGTCTGAGCTGTTTAAGATGGAGGAATAGGGCAATTGTTATTTGAACATTTTACTTTTGAATGTAGTTATATTATCAGTTGCAGTTACTGGCAGACATTTGTAGAGAAAATGACTCCCTCAGCAGCATAAGTTTTCTTATCTCACGACTAAAAAAAACTTCCATGTAGATATTGGTTTGAGAGAACTACTTGATTCATTTGGATGCAATTTTTTTGCTTGAATGGGGATTAATATCCCGTGGAGGAGTTCAAGGGCATTTAGTTAACTTTTACTGGTTGTAACCTGTGGAGGTTTGATGACTTGTGGAGATAGAGAAGTTTGCTTTTCTTGTGATAAATCTCATGGGACAATCACATATGCTTTTTTTCTTTTTTTTTGGAAAAGTTCTTATGTTCATTCCAATGTTGTGACTGAACACTTGGGTACCTACTCCATGGGAGAGGCCAAACAAAAAACTCTTGTAATTGGATTTGTGAGGAATTCGGCTAAAATCTTTAAACTTCAACTGCTTCACTATGGGTGTTTGCAAAGGGAAAAGAAAGTTGAACATTGTGGTTTCTGCGATGTTCTCACTTATCAAAGAGAAAAAGAATCGATTGAGGCATTTTTTTTTGGATGAAGTAAGAATAATATTAAAAGCATCAAGAAGATGCACAAAAGCACTGTACAGCTACTGTTACAAAAGTGAGATTGAGAGCTCTATTACGAAAGTCCTATGCTATAAATGATTGAGGCATTCTGGAACATTGTTGCATTCTTTCCTTGCATGTCTCTGTCTGAGTAGAAGTTAAAATGTGATTTATTTTTAACAGAATGGATGGAGTTGCACTTGTGGGAGCCTCTTCAGAAAGCAACTCTAAGAGTGTAAACTTAGATGGAGCTCGAAGAATGGCTTTAAAGAACATTGAAGCTTTTATTCTTGCATTTTCTGATCCACAAGCATTTTCTGCTGCTGCTGCATCATCTGTCCCTGCAGCTTTGACTCAAGTTACAGAATCAGCTCGTATTCATGAGGCAGGTCATCTTAGGTGCAGGTATGAATGTTGTCCCCCCACCCTTCATTTCCCATCCTTTAATCTAATGCTTACTGATAAGAATGTCTTAGAAACTTAAACTCACTTATCATAATAAAAATCGTACATCATGTCTGTAATTTATTGTATGGGCTGTGTACGACATTCACTGTCTGAAAAAGATCTGTTTCTCGCTCATTGAGACTTCTAGGGCTTAATGCCTATGTATTTCATGGGGAAGAAACATGGAAATGTTACTGAGTTGACTTTATGAAATTCAACACATTGCTTCATCTTCATCATTTTGTGACACGCCAAGATTGAATAGGTGGTGCTTAGCTGTTTTAGCAACTCTCCCTGGGTCCCAAATATTCTCTCTTGCCTTGTTGAATTTCGTCTTTTATCCCCTCGTTAATTTTCTTAGATATCCTTCTGCCTTTTTATTAATATTTTTTCTTAATTGCCTCTTCAGTGGAGCTGAGATTGGAAGATTCGTTACAATGTTACGTAATTCGTCTTCTATTCTCAAAGCATGTGCTGCATTTGCCCTTCTTCAGGTAGGTGATTCTCTCTGTGGCACTGACATTCTTCTGATATCAGTTTTTTTTTCAATTTAAACTGGCAACTTAACTGATCTCGTGTTTACATATTTTGTAGTTCACAATCCCAGGTGGTCGTCATGCACAACATCATGTCCGCCTATTGCAGAACACTGGAGCATCAAGGATTTTGCGTGCTGCTGCTGCAGCAGCCACTGCCCCTATCGAAGCCAAAATCTTTGCACGAATCGTACTTCGGAACTTGGAGCACCATCAAGTAGAATCCTCAACCTAAGGCCTGGTGAGGACTAGTAGTAATCCTAGGCCTTACTCAGCAATAGTGATAGGTATCCGTATACTCCCGTCAGTGACATTGACATTGACATAAGCCTCCAGTTTGTGTTAGCATACCGAAACTAACGGTGCTGGCTTTTGGGAAGAAGCAAAGGCTTCTTATTTTTCTACCCAAACGTCTGCCTGTTTTGGGGTTTCTTTTAGTTTTGTTTCTTGGGTACATAGGCTGTGTTATATTTCCCCCCTTATGTTAGTTATTCTCGCGTGTCTGTTTGAGCTTAGGCTTGATAGATCTATTGGCAGTGTGTTATATAGTTCCGGAGTCCAGTTGCTTTCAGATTCTGTATTTAATTTACCTGGCAGATTGTTTTATACCTGTACATTATATAGCTGCCGAGACGTCGGCATGCTGACAATTTCTGTACAAACCGTTGAAAGAATTTCTATGATATACTACTTGTGTTTTTAGGTGGTTTGGATGATGAAGTTGATGGTGTCTTTCAAGCATCTTTATACCAAACATATATTTTGCTAATATTTTTGAAAAAGGATGTTTTGAAACATATTGTTTCTTGACATACCAAATGACACTAGTTTGATTGGGTGATATTGGTCTTATTTTAGAAATATGAGAGTCTAGACTCTAAGAGGGAGGGTTATGGATACAAATTTTGTACCTTTGCGATATTTATACCCACAAAAAATCGAGAAAAATGGTCCAAATTTAATGTGAGTGAGTTCACACCAAGTATGGTCTATTCCCATGGTGTTCTTGAAGTAATGGTCAAAGTGTTTTTCAATGAAACGTACTACTACAAGGGAAAAAAAATCAGGTTGTGGGAAGAAGTGAAAAGACTAGCTAGAATCTATAGTTTATAAACTAAAATTTCCATGATCTTAAGCTAACTGATTCGGATTCAGCAGGAGAATTTCTTCTTCCACAACACCATCGTTGAAAGACGAAGGCCAAAATAGACTAGATGATCTTGATTGGGTCACTGTAGTAGATACATCATCCAGCAAGTATGGTAGTATGTTTTTCTTCATTTCACTAGTAGATATTTCAAGATGACTTCCACATACTTTCAACAACTTCACTTTTCCAGCTTCATCCAACATCCTTAGACCAATCCAGTCTTCTGTATACAGCTTTGTCTACAGATGATCAGAAAAAAAAGAAGAAGTGAATTATGTAGAAACAGATGAGATTATGTTCTACGTAGAATGTTTATAATTAATTACCTTCTGAGCAGGCAAAACAGTGCTGAAGGAACCATCAGGATAGTACCCAAACCATGAGGTCTGCTTTGGTACCAAAATTTCATCTTTTTCAAACTGATGAAAACAACAACAAGAGAACTTATGAGCTATCAAGTTCTGAATGAAGAGTAAAATCAAGTTGGGAATATATTCCATACTCACCATAATAAGTATTAAATTTTCCAAGCTTGCAAACCTTTTCTTGTAAGTAGAGTTTCTGTGTACCTCATTGTTGAGTACTGGAAGGAACTTACATCCTTTTCTATAGTTAGCTATGTCCTGGAAAGCGCAAAATGCCACAAAACAAAGCAGAGAAGATCAGATAAGTTTGATACAGATATAGCAAAATCACATAATTTGGTTACTTACAGTTGGGATTTTTATGTAACCTGCAGGAGCAAGATGTGCCTGGAATAGCATTAAAGGACACAATTTAATAAAGGGACTACATAGTTGTATTAGTGTATATGAAAAGAAAAGGGCAGACCTGGATAAAATTGCTGTAAATTGCTAACTTGAGCAAAGAGTCTTCAAGAATGCACCAGATACCTGACTGCCAAAATCGAAAAGACTGAAGAAACTATACTGTTTCCCCTAAAAAACATAACTTAGAGAAGTTGAAAATGTCTATGGGGTCAAAGGGAACATACACCACAGAAGGGAATAGAAGCAATTCCAGCATGAGGACCAGCTAGAGATATAAGATTCCTCACCTGTTACAGATATTACGAGAACATGAATAGAGGTATTCGTTGAATATACTAGATGATAAAGTTTTAACTTCTTACCGGAGGTCCATCATCACAGAACTCAATAACCCCTCTACCAACCATATTCCCCTGGAAAAAAAGATAAGAGGGATTGCCAGACTTGTGAAAGAAGGAGATCAAATTATGCGCGGAAACTTTAAGAGGTCTACATTAGGAAGTGCAAAGTTGCTTCTCTTTTACCTGGGAGAGCCCGATTATGTTGTAACCTTCACTAAGCTCACTCATTTTCTTTAACTGTAAGTTGAAGGAATACTGAGATTAGGAACAATTGCAGGTTGATCAAGTAAAACAACACATTACACTAGCTTGACTTACCTTCTGGCAAGCAATGTCTATCTACAAACGAAAAAACAAGAAGCCCGAAAAGTCATTAATTTTGCTTTATCCATGATGATGAATCAGAATCATGATAAACAGAGGTAACCTGCTTGGGAAAAGGCATAAACCAGGAGTCCCACTCTCCATTACCAATTTCTCTATACAAACAGAGAAAAAAAAGCAAGAGATTAATTACTCTTGGAATTTAGCTAGAACTAAATTGGTAATTAGACTTAAAAGCAACAATTAACGACTAAATTTCCCCCTGCTTCTCTAGTAAACTCTCGTCTACTGAGATGGACACATCACGAGAGCTACTAGACCAGATGATACGCGGAGAAATCCATCATCCTTTGTTTTTTTTTTTCTAAAAACTTGAACAGGTAGCCATGCTTACATGCAATGTCCTGAAGAGCCTGACCAGTTGCTTAAAAGCTCGGTGAAATGTGTGATTCCTCCATTGCTACATTTATCTGCTATTCCTGATTTATCATGTCAAAAACCAATTTCCTCTAAGATATCAAACAATTTAAACCCTACAATACATTGTTATTCCGATACGATAACAGAAGAAGATGAATTAACACTACATATTACAGAATACAAACAGAGACAGAGTCACCTTTATTCAGAAGGAGTCGATTAACACCAGTTCATTGAAAAATTACACTACGTAAATAGGTCAAATCTTTTTGACTTTTTATGTATATTACATGTTGAATTTTGACTTTTTGTGTGTGTATTTATTTCTCTATATTTTGAACAGTTTTACAATAATTAATCATCTCTAATACCTATATTCAAGATTATTCAACTAATCAAGCAATCATACAAGGCTACAAACAACAGTAAACATAGGATAAAGCAATATAATAAAATTAAGAAGATAAGTTTACCATGAAAGACAACAAAAGGAAGAGAATAAGTAGTGATTGAGTGAAGGGTGAAGAGTACATTAATGAATATCAAAGTGAATTTCATTGGAAAATAGTCAACAAGTGTATTGTATAAATGTTGGATTAAATTGTTATCAACAAGTGTGGATGTTGGAGAAAATAAATGGATTGCTTAATTTCTAGGATAAATAAATAATGTAGCACACCAAAAATAAAGATACACGTGGGAAGAGAAAACTAGATAGAAGGAGAGAGAAAAATAAATATTCCAAATGAGTTGTGGTAGTTGACAATCAGTTAATGCGTGTTCTAATTGATTACTTAGTTTCTCTTGTCATTGACACTTTTTTCATAATTTAAAATAACTGAATTATTCGAAGTTTAAAAAAACTATGATCATTTATTATATGAAGTACAGAGTCTTTCAATTTTTCATACGTACGCTCAATCATACAGAACTGAAACACAACATGACTAAAGAAAGTTTCAGTCATATGCGTCTGAATGCTTTAGTTCCTTATTGCGAGTTAGTCATATGCATCTGAATGCACAAACTTCAATAATTAATTGTTTGTCTTCAACATGTTATATGAATGTATTTCATGTGGGCATATGGGAGATTCTTTTTTTCTTTCATAAATTTTACATATATTACTTGCAAGAATGCCAGTAGATATGCTTTAGTTCCTTATTGCGAGAGTTAGTTAGCATACATACATGGAATGTATATACATACAATCTTGTGTACAAACTGTAAATTTTCATCCTGAATCCGATGTTCCTATATGTTTTTTTGCAACTAGATGGTCTTCAGATGCTGCACGTTGGAGCAATAAACTTCTGGTAATCTTAACTGAAACAAGAGTCAGCAATGTAGCAGCAGGAACAAACACAACGTCTGGAATGCGTTTTATTATTTTGAGCTGAGGCACCGCTTCACCGGCTTTCTTGACTGCCATTGCTGCAGGGGGTGTTGCCAGCCCAATGAAGAGCAATGTATTATCTGTCTTGTTTGGTTGTATTTTCTTCTTCAGGAACTCTACCACAACCGTCTTCTTACTTTCTTCATCTACTGCCTTTTCTCTTTCCTCAAAACATTCCTATATTTGCCACACATGATTAGCAACCTGTGCGCGTGTTATTTTGTGTTGTGTTGTGTGTATATACACACATACAGAGAGAGAGTGAGAGAGAAGACAACCTTAATTTCGTGAAACGAAGGCACAACCCAGTGCTTGCCAGGCAATGCACCATTCACAGTGCTGTGGTTAATTAAAAGAAGCTTCAGTGTTACCCAAAGATGATGGTTTTAATAGTTTTATAAAGTTAGGAATATCCTAACAACAAACTAGATACTGGTAGTTTATCGGGCATTACATTTTCATTTGATAAGTTTAGGCTAGTTGTATCAACATAAGTTCTGACGGAGTTTTGGACAAAGCATCTTACGCAAACATGTCGAGAATTGCCAGATGGAACTCGTCTAAATTATCAATATTTCTCTTATTTTCACCCAGGAAGAACTCGTTGAATTTTCCTGCCGCTTTATTAATAACCTGTGTTGTTGAAAATCCTGTAGAGTTGAAATAATTATGGTTCACAAATGTCATTGATATCTGAACATAAGACGTACAAGCTACATCTATGCTCAAATAAAGTAGGGAGGTGAAGAAGAAAGATGATTAGCAAAAATATAAATTTTAAAAAGAGAAGTGAAGATGACTGACCTTTTGCCGCTATGCTGGTGACCAGACCCATCTTTGTCAATATGAACAAACAAATTCAATCAAGTATATAAAGAAAGACCAATGAAGAGGACAGGAATGACGTGCTTGTCTGTATAGGTGACGGGTGCAAGCAAAGAATCCAGCAAATGTTCCATTGGTTTGCTAGGATCTGATCCCTTACTTTCATCAAACTTTAGCTTTAGCAGAGATCTGAACAATGGGCTTAAGGAGGAATCTACACAACGGGCTCACGGATGATGCTCTGATTTTGCCTTGCAACAGTAATCCCAAAAAAGGGACAATTCTGATTCCTGACCAACTCTTAACATTTCAAACTTTTATCATGTGGGAGCTCATCATGTGAATTCTTGACTTTTATCAAGCTTTAGCTTAAGCAGGAATCTACAGCATGGGCTCCCTCCCAGCATTTATCACCCAGCAATAACTCTAAAAGAACCATACTTGTGCAGCAGTCATTTCCGATTCCTAACCAACACTGACGTTCAAGTACTAATTTTCTCTTGATCTTCAGTCGGAGGACTTAACACTCTTAACAAAGACAAATTCTACACATTCCAACCGCATCAACTCCTTTCTCGGGAAGGTCAGGTGTTTATCTGTCTCCTTATTACAGATTGTGGTCTTTGTGCCATAGTCGTGCATGTATCTTTAACCTCAAGGCCGACATCTGAGATATGAGGGAAAGCAAGAGTACATACAAGATGTGAAACACATCATATTGGCAAGATAGTCATCACTCATAATTCAGCCAATCCAATATTATTACTATAAGGTGTATCCAAACCTCGCATGTACAACAGCAAATGCTCCAATAGAAGATGTATTTCTTCACGCTGTGCATGTATTTTATCCCCAGCAATAAATTCACAAACCATACCATTAACTTCAATGGTACTGCAACCTGCCTCCTTTTTTGCCCCTTCTCTCCGCATCCGCCCCTTAATGTCTTCAACATCACTCCACCTCTTATCAGTGGCATACATGTTCCTTAACATAATATAGATCCCATCATTCCACGGTTCCATCTCAATTGCTTTTTTCTTGACCTTCTCAGCCCTTGTAACATCTTTGGCATAACCACATGCAAATAGAAAGGAACTCAATATTATTCCATTGGCTTCATAAGGCATGGTCTTAATCAAGTTTTCAGCTTCCTCCAAACACCCTGACCTCCCCAAGAGATCAACCAGACAACCATAGTGCTCAATTTGTGGAGTGAGCCCATACTTCTCCATTTCTACAAACCATTTCTTGCCTTCCTCCACCAATCCACCATGGTTGCAAGCTGACAAAACACCAAGCATAGTAATCTCATTTGGCTCGTATCCTTTACTCTTCATCTTCTCAAAGACCTCCAGTGCTTCTTTAGCAGATCCATTGATCGCCAGCCCATTAATTAAAGCATTCCAACTTGATGACTCTTTTACTTTTATCTCATCGAAAAATTCCCTGGCTTTTGCAATTTCCCCACACTTGGCATACATATCAACCAAAGCAGTGCAAACATTTGAAGATCTATCTAATTTCTTCCTCTTCACATACTGGTGAATCCAGTTGCCCAAATCTAAAGCACCCAAATCAGCAATAGCGGGAAGTACACTGACAACAGTAACACCATCCGGCTCCAATGTCGTCCCCATCTGCAGCTCATGAAACAATTTCAAAGCCTCTTGTGGCTGTTTGTTTTGACAGTATCCACCAATCATTGCGTTCCAAGAGAACAAATTCCTTTGCGGCATTACATCAAATAACGCCCTGGCTTCACTTACATTACCATTACTGCAGTGCCCACCAATCATACTAGTCCAAGAAATCACATTTCTCTCCGGCATTGCCCAAAACAATCTATTTGCTGACAGCATATCTCCTTTCTTCACGTAAGCATCAATCATCACATTGAACGCAGCAACATCTTTCTCAGGCATTGCATCAAAAAGTCCTTCAGCAATACCCATACATCTGCACTTCAAATAACCTCCAATTAAAGCTGTCCACGAGACTGGACTTCTTTGGGGCATTTCATCAAACAACTTCCTGGCAAAAGCCATTTCACCAAACTTCCCATACATATCAACCAACGAAGTGGCCACAAACAAATTCGAAGCAAACCCACATTTCAACACATGATTATGAATTTCCATGCCTTCCCACAACACGAATCTTGCGCCACAACACTTGGAAAGGCTCGAAAGCGTGTAATTATCGGGTTTAAAACTTGTATGTCTTAATAAATCTCTGTACAGAAATGTTGAGTCGGCGAATTGACCAACACCCATGTGGGATTTTATCATGGCGTTACAGAGGAAAGTCTTGTCCTTTTGGAGACTTTTGTCGAACATGCGGCGTGCATGGCTGATTCCAGCAACTGGGTCGCTGACGGAGAAGCTTGAAATGAGCATGGTGAATAGACTGACGTTATTTTCAATGGCGTTTCGAAGCATTATGGCGTGAATACGGAGAAGAGTGGCTTTGGAGTTCCTCCGTTGAAGCAAAACATGGCATTCTCTCTCTATTCTGCTCCACATCCCAAAGGTTTTTCTATCCTTCATTGCTTCGATTTTGGGGAAGAAATTATGGAAATTCCTTTGAAGCAAGTTTCGTAGCAAATAAAGATGTAAAATTGATGCTTTATAGGGGTTTAACAATACTCTCTCCTCTCCTCCTTTTAAATATAAATACTTGGTAACTCCTTATTTATTTGACACATTTCATTTTTTGATAGTCAAATGACCGACAATTTATGCATGAAAATTCAAAATGTGTCACATAAATTGAAATGAGAGTAAACAATAAGGAAAAGAAAATGTATGAAATATATACAGAGACATTCAAGAAAGTCTTGAACTGCAACCAACAGCATTTACGAAATACTATAACAATCACAGAGCCAAAAACACCATAATCGTATTGATTACTTGAACTAGTTATTGGGAGGTTGAGAATGGGTGAATTCATGCATTTCATTATCAAGAAGAAACACTCAACTCACATCCAAATGCTCGATGATTTCAAAGTGTATCTGGAGATCAGGGAGCTTATTACCAAAATACAATCTTTCACGTATATACAATTTCCCCATATTCTTCCGAGTTGCTTCTTTGAGAAGCCGAAGAAACTCATCTTTCTCCTTCCGGATCCAAATCCTGTCACGATCACACCATTGTCTAGGAGTTCCATGAAGGAAAAACCGAATTCCAGGGGCTCCTTGGACGAGGTGATCAGAAATTTTATGAATGACATCTTGGTTGGTTACATATGCTCCCTCTGTGTTTAGACCAACATCTACGTAATGGAACTCAGCTAGGCTATTTAAGAAAACATCTTTAGAATTTGGAATAATCTGATCTTGTGGCTGGGAGGAAAATCCTCCGTTTGTGACATTCTTGTTTGCTAGCGGCACGTCTTCAGTGAGCTGGACTGGTGCAAAACCAAGCTCAGTAACAAGCTGGTTGAGTACAGTACCACCCTTACTAAATCCAAGTAGCAAAGTTCTTGGTGTACTTGAAGATGACGTAGAAACTTCAGCTTGATAGGGCTCTTTTTGTTTCCCTGAAATGACTCTTTTTGCCTGTTTCAAGACAGTAAAGTAAATTCATAAGCAACTAAACATGCAAAATCATTGCATATAATGTTCTATGAAAATGTGCAAGAAGTAGTAAGAAGTTCCCTCTTTGAACAGGCAGTATATCACTATGATTCCTAATATTCTGCACATGGAAAAATGTGAAAAGGCAAGCGAGATTAAATGGAAGAAACACCACAAACGGAAGAAGAATATTCACAAGCCAGCTAGAGAAGCGAGTTATAGCCTTATACAAGCTCTATAAGGAGCATAGCCAAAAGCAATTAGTAATTCATCACTTCCTCCAATGTTTTTGCAAGAACTAACAGACTAAATAAACTTTCTTAGATCTTCACAACTCATCTATGTCGTCCCACAAACATGTTTAGGGTGGCCTCTAGTCAAAACTGGCCCAAAGGACTTCTTCATTCACTAGATGGACTGCAGGTTAATGGTCATGTCAAAACCTTAACTTTGTTCCGAGGCTTATTTAGCTTTTTCTGGAGGATAGTGTGATATAACAACAACATACCCATTATAGTCCTACAAGTGGGATCTTGGGAGGGTGGGGGTGTACGTAGACCTTACCCCTACCTTGAGGATAGTGTAATATTTACCTAAACTACAGAGCCAAGAGGACGTACATGGCACTACAAGAAACTGCAAAAATCGTACATCCTAGAGCCAAAAAGACTTACAATCTATACCGAGACTCTAATGAGGAACTTCACCTTAAATTTTCTCTTTCAATCAAGTTGAACTAACTTAACTAAAAAGTGGTACATGGTGATCAGCGCATAAGGCAGGTACTTCGAACAATAGATAATACCTCTTTTAAGCAATTCCACAAAAGCAAGACAATGGAGGAAGAAGCAGGGAAACCATCTGCATCATAAGATTTAGGCTCTCCATATTCATTGACAGAAGGTATAAAGTCCTTATAAACCGCAAAAGGTCCATTGAAGACAGGTGCCTCAATAACCCAAGCATTGATAGAATTCCCAAATTTCGAAACCAAGATTTCAGCAATTTGCTGCAGGTCAGATAGCCTCTCAATCACTGGATTTCCCGTCCCTTCAATCTTATCTCCATTGAAAAAAATAGCATTTGCAACAGGCACCTATGTTTCATACAAAATGCAAGGCATTAGACGAGCAGTCCATTCGATGGAAAACAATAAAGACAACAACTTTCACAGTAAACAGCTAAAATGCACATCACTTCAAATATGTCGTCGAACTTTAAGAAAAGACTCATCTATGTCATCCGTTAAAAAATTGACTCATTTATGCTATTTCCGTTTGAGAGAAGGTTCATCCATGGCACTATTTGTAAACTAAAAATATTTTCGATTTTGCAAAACTATTTTTTACACATGGTCAATTATGATTCGGCCACGTCATTAATTAAATTATTTTTTAAAAGGGAAAAGGCTCAAATATGTCATCGAGAAAAAGGCTCATAAAATGCCATCAGATGAAAGTTTGGCTCATCCATGTCATTTCAGTTAACAAATAATAACTTGGATGAACCTTTTTCTCAAACGAAATTGGCATAAATGAGCAAAACTTTTAACGGATGCCATAGATGAGCCTTTCTCAAAGTTTAATGAGATATTTGGTCATCAAAATTTCCTTTTTCAGTGTCTAAAAAGCTCCATACAAATCAAAATTGAACATGCCCAAATATGTAAGTGGTCTTGAATGGATGCATATAAAACGAAACCAACTAATTAGAACTGAGGCTACATATAAACGATTCCAACGAATTTGACTTGAAGCACAGGTGATTGATAGATTGATCTACATAGCTACGCGATTAAAATATCAATTCCATTGTTTTTTTTAAAAAGTGAATTTAATGGGATAAATTGAAGTCTGAAAAGGATTTAGGGTTTAAAAAAAAAGAACTTACAGAGAGAGATTTGGAAGAAGGAGAAAGGCAAAGTGAAGCAGCAACTCGATAATATGTGTTGTACAATGGCACCTTCAAGATTCCTGTCCAACGATCCATGGGAACTTACTACACCTTTTAGCCCATTCAATTGAAAATGGCGAAGGATTTTGCAGTTGCTTCGAGTCGACCAAGATTCGATCAATGCCAACAAATTAAAAATTTGGGACTAACACTTTGAACGTATGGTATTATAATATTTTATTGTTTTAGTGAATATAATATTTGAATATATTATATCGTTCATTGTTATTATATAATGTCAATTTAATTTGAATGATAAACCTATAACAAAAAGTAATGTACAAAGTAGAGCGGTAGTCATTAAAATTTATTAAATATAAATTTATAAAATGATTCAGATTATATTAAATTCAATGAATATATTAGTCCAAATAAATATTATGGATTAATATAATTGAGTTAATTATTTAAATTTAATAAATATGAATTTAATTAACGTTCGCTCCATAAAGTCATATGCTATGTCATTTAAATCTGATTGGCCAAAGGGAATCATATTCCTATCACAACTCCTCAATTCTAAAACGATAAATAGGGGTCCTCATAATTTAGAATTCTAACAAGAAGCTAGAGAAAACTCGTGGATTAAAAGCCACAGATTTCTCTACAAGTTCAAGAATTCTAACAAGAAACTAGGGAAAGCTCGTGGATCAAAAGCCACAAATTTCTCTATAAGTTAAAAAATTCAAGATTTCAAGCATTCAAGTTCAAGAACGATCAAGATCAAGACCGCCACAAATTTCTCTACAAGTTAAAAAATTCAAGATTTCAAGCTTTCAAGTTCAAGAACGATCAGGATCAAGACCACCGGATAAGATCAAGCTCGAAGCCCTTGAATTCAACTAGAAGTCAAGATCAAGATCAAGATAAAGTTCAAGTCCAAGAACGATCAAGATCAAGACCGCCGGATTAAAGATCAAGCTTGAAGCCCTTGGATTCAACTAGAAGTCAAAATCAAGATAAAGTTCAAGTTCAAGTTCAAGACCGTCAGATTCAAGATCAAGTTCGAAGCCATTAGATTCAACTAGAAGTCAAGATCAAGATAAAATTCAAGTTCAAGAACGATCAAGATCAAGATCGTTGGATTCAAGATCAAGCTCGAAGCCCTTGGATTCAACTAGAAGTCAAGATCAAGATAAAGTTCAAATTCAAGAACGATCAAGATCAAGACCACCAGATTCAAGATCAAGCTCGAAGCCCTTGAAATCAACTAGAAGTCAAGATCAAGATAAAATTCAAGATCAAGTTCAAGTTCAAGATAAATTCAAGATCAAGCTCAAGAGCCCCTTGAATTATACCTGAAAAAGCGAATTTCAGAAGAATCATAGAGATTGTAACACTCGCACTTAAAATTAATAAAACAATTGTTGCATAATTTTTTGTTCTTGATTATTATTTTCTCGACGCGAATTTTATTGTCTACAAGAGCTACTATGAAAAGAAAGAATAAAAGGAAAATGACATGATGTACCCCTTAACTTTGTCATTTAGAGCTGAAATATCATCGTTATGAAAGTGACTCATATATACCCCTACTGTTATACAAATGGTAAGGGTATATATGAGTCACTTTCATAACGAGTGATATATCAGCTCTAAATGACAAAGTTGATGAGTATATCATACCCTTTTCCCAAAAATAAAAGATGAAATATGATTCTTCAATAATAAAGGCATAATACATAAATATGACATTTAATTTGGTTTCATCTAACATCTATGTCATCCAACTTTGGGTGTGCATAAGGAGATACTTAAACTTGTATAACATTAAATAAGTAGATACACACGTTCTACGTGACATAATACACGTTGAATGCCACATCGGACAAAATTGTCATGTAGGACACCACGTCAGAGGCGTATTCAGGATTTCAGAATGATGGGTGCATTATTACAAAAAGATTGATCTAAGATATAAATTTGATCGATTGGACATTTAGGTTCTTATTACTGAAAATCGTTAAAATTAATATTATAGGTCCAAAACTAATTAAAATGTCAAAAGTGTTACCAACAACCATTTAGAGAGGTGTTATCTAATTTTACAAAGAAAAATAAAACAAGATGAATATAAAATTCAAATTTCTAACCTCACGTAGAGAGGTGCACCCAGTCATCATCGCATTATATGATACTCCGAGTATGGGTTCACACATCTATATTTCAATATTTTTCAAAAATATAACACTACTATATATGATCTCGAGAGGGGAGCATGGGTTCACGTGAACCCGGTGACCCCTACTTGGATACGCCTCTGCACCACGTAGGACAAATATGTCTATTTGTTTAATTTTATACAAGTTTAAGTGTCTACTTATCCATATTCAAATTTGAAGAACATGAATACTAGCTGAAGCCAAGTGAAATGACATTACTCCTACTAATTTCATTAGAAAACTACACGAGGGCTCTTTGCATTAATAATTTTAATAAACCATCGTCCATCAGAGAACAATGTAAGAATAGGATATAAAATACTAATGTTAATATATTTGTAATAGATCAATTTGATATATATAGTTCATGATTAATTAAAATGTAGAATATATCTTAATACTAATAATTGTATGGCTATAGAAGAATCACGTGGCGTTCTACATAACAATTTATATCCTACGTGTATAATTATGTCATGTAGGATATGTGTGTTTACTTGTTTAACTTTATACAAATTTAAGTGTCTACTTATGGACATCAAAAGTTAGAGGACATATACGTCAACTAGGACCAAGTTAAATGACATATTTATGTCTATGCCTTAATAATATACTTTTATAAAATTTAACTCCTTATATGCATATATAACAATATTTTTTTGTGTAACTATTATGTAAATTTAAAATATTTTGAGGTATTGAAATAAAAAGGGAGGTGATTATTGATGAAAAAATGTCTATATATATGAAGAAGTGCTAAAATTAATAACGAGCTTTAGAAGTATGAATGGTAAATGGTAATATATTGATATAAAACGATTGACAATTGAGTATTTTTATTTTCTATAGTTTCAAAATTTATATGCTCATACAAAAAATAATTAAGCAGTAAATTTTGTGAGTTTTTTCTTTTGGCGTTCTACCTGCATAAACTATTGTTTGTATGGTATCAATAGACATTATTTTCTGTACATAATTTCCTTTTGATTAATAAAACATGGCTATGACCTTTTTAGCAACAATTTATATATTTTTTTAAAAATAGTTCTTCCTCTATCCCAATTATATTTAACAAAAAAATTAACTTATAAACTAATATTTTTTATTAAAATATCTACCGAAAAGCGCAGTCAAATTTTCTGATCATTAAGTCATCTTTAACTCAACGCAAGTAATATCGGATAGAGTTATGCAATAATTCTTTAGTCTATTTTAATTATCTATATCCTGTACATTGGTCGATTCGATTTGGTTTTATGTATTATTGGTTCGGTTTATTGGTTTTTGATTTTTAAATACGCTAAATCAATAATGAACCAATAAGATAATTTTTAATCGATTTTGGTCCTTAACGATTCGGTTTTCGATTTAACCAATAAGAAAATACTTATAAAACAAATATATGACTTCTCTAATAAATTTGACAAGACAAGACAATAATGTAACTTTACAAAAGTTCATAAAATAGAAATAATAATAACAAACATGAAAATAACTATACATGTGTATAACACAAAAGGAAATCAAGAGGAATATGGTTCTTACTTTAGGTTTTGACGATTTGTATAATGTAAAGTTGTGAACTCAAAGTCACAGCGAAGTATGAATTGATGGCTAAATGACAAAGACATAACTATTAAGACATTGAGATTAATATTTACTAATATGTTTGTATATGTAAAAGTAGTAGATTACTATAGTCTTAACTCTTAATGAGTTATCGGTTTACCCAATAACCCAATATTGAAAACCAATACCGAATCGATAACCCAATAATTTTTTTTTATAACATCATTAAGAAACCGTTAACCCAATATCAATAAACTAATAACACTTTTTTTGGTTCAATTTTTGCACACATTATGCACAACCCACAACCCGCCCATTTATATAGATTTTTAATTCTTCACAATTATTTTTTAATTTAATGATATTTTTTAATAGATTTTTATTTTTATAATTATATATATATTAGAAATTTGAAAAGACCACTTTTTTTATTCAAATTATAAAAAGGTAACTGTAAGAGATATCACTTTTCCTCAATTTATCATCCCCTAATTTTAGTGTCAACATTATTTAAACCATCCTATTACGTCCATATAGTAAGCAGTATGTGATAGAATATCTACAATATAATAAGATAAGTATGAAAACATCCCTAAATTCGGCGTAAATTATTAGTTTCATCTTAAACTATTGACATTCTTAAAAATACCTTTTTACTTACTCAACCTAACTTAAATATCCCCTCAATCTTGCAAAATGAGTGAAATCATCCCTAAATTCTCGTCAAGTTTAGAGGTGTTTTCAATACTTCTCTTGGATTTTTATTAAGATCCAGTTACATGCATGCTCCTATAAGAGTTTGAGACCACTTGTTATATCATGTGACAAATAGAGAATGTATTTAAATTAAGTTAGTCAAATAAATAATGTTTTTATGACTATCAATAATTTTAAAAAATAATTTAATTAATAATTTGCGTCAAGTTTAGAGTACTTTCAGTACTCCTTTGTTTAATACGAGTATTTGTGTGCTTTAATTTATATCATGCCACACGTGGACAAATATATATTATTAAAACTTAAAAGAATCTGAAAATGAAACTAAAAACCGTCAAATATTCTATGATTTAAGATAATATAATAATAAAGATAAAAAAAGTTCAACTAATATTAATTTTCTTTTTGAATTTGAGATTTTGTCCAAGTTGGGCTCAAGCCATCATATTTCGACCAGTACTCCAATTTCATGTAAAAGAAACACGTAGCGTATACTCTATAGAGAAAAATATTTTTCAATGGATTTAAATTCTACAATAATGTTTAAAAATAACTTATTTTTATAAAATATTATTCATAGAATATATTTTTGTTCGTATAAAACACACAATACACTCTCTCTTTCTGTTTTCAAATATTTTTGTGAGAACTCATTTAGTT